TTTCACTCACCTCGTGACCCCACCTCAGCTCACTTACTTCCTGGCACCAGTTGCTGCCTCTCAGGCTTAGCTCACTTCCTAGCCCTGACAATGGGAGTGATCCTGACGTGCTCTCCTGTCCCAGCAGTGACAACCCAAGTTTCCATAATGCCCTGTCCCAGCGCTGCTGGGTCCCAGGGTAGCATGCAGTTGGCAGAAGTCTAAGTTTCTGTAGTCACTTAGGTCTCAGAAAGAATGTGGAACTTAGTGTGAGCTCCCTCTCTGGAGCAGTTCCATCCCACAGTCTCCCGGCTACTCTTTATGTTAGCTTCATGGTTTGGGAGAGCCAAAGGGTTCTCTCACGGCGATAATTATACTATTCCACAGTGGGGATGTGTACTGCTAGAAGTCTATCACGTGCTCCTTCCTTGCGTTAGGAAGTCAGTCCCAGCTCCCAGCCTATCCTGGGAAAGGAGGCTCCCTCTTCTCCTTCTACCTCTTAGCTTTTAGATTCTCCTGTTACTTCTCTGTTCAATTCCAGCATCATCTCTTGAATAATGTACTCATACTGTCACTGTCTATATATGACTCTGGTTTTTCTAAGTGGAGGAGGCAGGCATAGAGTGGTTTTAGTCAGCCATCATGAACCCCCCGCCCTCAACATTGTGGTTTTGGTATTTTATTTTCCTTTATTTGTTACTATAAGTGGAAAATACCACCTTGGTCTATCATGTTAAAATCCTCTTAATTTGTTGACTGCTTTCGGTTGTGGTTCTGTACAGGGGAAGTTCGTGTTGGTTGTGTTCTCAATAGGTTGCTTGCTAGCTCACAGACTGTGGCTGTCACTGTTGGAAATGTTATATGCTCTGGGGGTGAAACTCCAAGGAATGAAAGTCATATTTACTTACTAGGTTCCAATTCTGAGTCAGAATCCATGCTGGGTCCTGTTATAAGTGTGATTTACTCCTTTCAAGAGCCCTGTGAAGTGGACATGATTGCTCTTATTTTGCATATATGAAAACTGAGGAGACTTGGGGTCACACAGAGTCAAAGCTGAGATATAGCCCAAACTTACTCACAAGCTCACTGGGGCTAATACCAGCACCTACAGGCTAACAGAGAAAAGAGCTGTATGAGAAGAGAAAACAAGCATAAAACAGCTCTTTAAGTCCATTAAGTGCAAACATGCTTGCTTTTTATATGTCTTCCCAGAAATTAATGTATTTTCAGTCCTCTCTTAAGTTTGCATTAGGAACCAACTAGAATGTACATGTCTGAAGTGGATGAGCAATGAATATAAATGGTAGCCCCTGCTGAAAAGGACTTAGACTCTCAACAGCCCAGACAACGTCCAGTGTGGTGGGACATCTTTACCACAGAAGCTATTTTTCATGGGTTTCCCAGAGACTCGAACCCTAGGATCAGTGTGGAGACTGAAATTGAAAGAAGACTACAGACCAAGAGATTTAACTATCCAGTTGGTCCTCAGCATCCTGTTCTTGCTGACTCTCTCATGCATCTTGTTTGGAGTGTGGACTCCAATATGGACCATCAGAACCTAACATTTTAACCAATGAACTAAATTTGTGCTTTCAAACTACATGTCATGATTCATCAGTGGGCTATAAAATCATTTTACAGAGTTGTGGCCAACATCTTTTAAAAAGTGGAAAATGGTAGGATAGGATAAGCTAGGCAAGGATAGGGTAGACAATAAAATATCAGGATGCATAGTATAAAGCAGGTATAAGTATTGTATTGTAAACTTGTTTTGTGTGTGCATGAGTCTATATGTATGTAAAGATGGAGAAAAATATGCATACATTCATACATACAGTGAATAAAAATATACACAGGACTATATATGTATAAGAGAATGCAATATTACATGAGATAGCCTTTTGTTCTCCAGCCAAAGAAAACATTTTATATTATCCTGGGACGTGGTTTCATACTCTTAAAATTGGGATGGGAATGCTCCCTAACTAATAGCAATATAGCTAAGTAAATTACTAAATGTTTTCTTTATGGTATGTACAAATAAGTACTTTATTGAAAGTTAGCAATTCAACTTGTAAGCGTATCAAATGACTAATATTTTCAAAAAGAAAAATATTGAGTGGTGAAATTACAGGTTATGAAAAATATTTTTTATTTCATCTGTATTTTCTGCTCTTTGTAATAAACATGCATTGTCTTTTATAAAGAGAAAAATATGGATACATATTTAAAACCAACTAAACATTCAATGTTTTATGCATTAAAGAAGAAACTATTTTTACGACAGTCCTTAGAAGAAAAAAATAAAAATTTACAAAAATGCATAACAAGGTCCAAGAACAAAATATCCTTTGGTGATTTTCTTTTATTGATAGAGCCTATGACTATGCAGTAAGTGTCTAGTTTGTGGACATTTTCTGATGACTGCTTACAACTAGCAGGGTGTTTAAGTAAATTTAAACTTTATCACTCCACGATTGTTGAAACAACAGGGAGTTGCTGTGTGACTTGAGCTTTACCCAGCAGGAAAGCCCTCTTCCCGTGCCCTTGCTGACAAAGGTAGCAACTCGAAAGTGTTCTCAGTATCGTTAGATCAAGGTAATTCTGAAGCAGTAATTTATGAGGCAACAGCATTCCAGCATTGGTTGACTTTGGTCCTCATGATCATCATGAAGTAGGCACTCATAATATCCCTGTTTCACAGCTGAGGAAACTAAGGCACAGAGGGAAAGTGAGTGTGGCACAGTGTTGAGTGCCATGCTCAGGACTTTGGATCTTGAATGCCCTACGCAGTGGAGTGAAATATTTGTATCTGTGTTTTGGAAAAATAATATGGGTAGCAGTTCATACGTTGTACCATAGGTGACAAACACCAAGTGAGTGAAAACTAGTTGAGAGACCATGCTTCACTCTCTCTCTCCATAAATATTGCAGCCCTGCAGAACTATTAACTATTGTCCAAGCATGCAAATAACCTAATTATCTGGTGTCTTTTTACATATTATTCATCTAGTGACAGTTCTAGTCCTCCCTTTGTCCCCCTGGCAAATTCTTACTACCTCTTCAAAAGCTAGTTCATGGAACAGTTTCTGTCTGCAAAATTAGCTAACATTCCACTTGCCTGTGTGAAAGGCAGCACAATGTGAAAGCAAGAGCAGGGAGTTGGGAGTCAGACTTATCTGCTCAGCCTCTCACAAACTGTGTCCTTCCAGAGACTGTCACCTCATCTCTGCATTGGGAATAATACTCTCTAACTCGCAATGTGGGTGTGGAAATTTTCTATGATATTCTGGCATTTCCAAAGCATCTATAAATTGTGTTTATTTTAATTAGTTTGTCACCTTAGAAACCCACCCTTTCCACAACCACCAAAGAGATCAAATGGTACCATGTTCTGTTTTCTCTTAGGATTTTAAACTTGTGTCTACACAAACATTGTCACCTTAGGAAAAAATTACATTACAGGTATTGATCGATTTATGACCTATGCAACTTACGACCATTCGACTTTACGACCACAATCGCTAGCCACGACTGCTCTGCATCTGGCAGCGCAAATGTTGCCCAGCTGGGCGTACGACAGTGCGGACCAGCTTCCGGCAGCACTACCATCTCCGTGTGCACCATTTCAACTGTTATCCCAGACTCGGTACAGCAATTTGTGTTTTGTGTCTTCAATATTTTATGGTATTTTTTATACCTGTATTTTGTATTTTTGTATGCACCTGTGTTTTGTAATTTTGTATGTTTTGCAAATATTAAACCAGTTGTACTGGTAGTGCAGTTTTACTTAAACCTGACGAATGTAAAAATAAGAAACAAAATGGTGTAGAGATGATACAAATGGCATAAAATGAACAAAGAAAATTATGATATGTAACAATGAAAGAAAGTTATGATAAAATATGAGTTAAAGATTTTTATAACATCATTTCACAGTACTGTACATATAGCCTACTCAACTTACGACCAAATTGTGTTACGACCGGTCTGTCGGAACAAATCGTTGTCGTAAGTCGAGCATTAGCTGTACTCATGAACAAGGGTCTGCAGCTTTTTCATTCCTCAACTAGATTCTGCCTTCTGGCCCATTGTGATAGGGTGAATAATGCCCGCCACCCTTGAGATCCCATGCCCTATTCTCTGGAAATGATTAATATGTCACAAAATGGCAAAAAGAGTCTTCACAGATGTATTAAAGATCTAGAGATGAAAATGGTTTCTGGATTACCCAAGTGGGTCCAATGTATTCGCAAGTCTCCTTATGAGAGGTAGGCAGAGTTAGAGATGGAAAGGTCAGGGGAGAGAGGGGAGATGTGACAATGGAAGTAGAGGTTGGGGTGATGCAGTTTGAAAATCAATGGAAGGTCCACATGCCAAGGAATGTAGATGCCTCTAGAAGCTGAGAAAGGAAAGGAAATAGATTCTCTTCTAGAGCCTTCAGAAGAAACGCAGCTCTGATCATACTTTGAGTTTAGCATGTTCAACTCACTTGGAACTTGTGACCCCCCAGAATTGCAAGATAATAAATTTGTATGTTACATCACTTAGTTTGTGTTAATTTGTTACAGAAGCCATAGGTCACTAATAAACACTGCCACAACTTCCTTTCTTCCCAAAGTAGAGCAGTGCCTTCCTGAGGGGTGAATGAAAATACCATCATCTTGTACCTCTCTTCATTTCCAGAATCTTAATATCTTTCCAGTTAATGTATTCATGGGCATAAAAGCAGTGTTATTTATTTACTAAAATTTTTAAAAGCCATCTAGTAATATGTAAGTGCTACTAATAATTATTGACAAAGACAATAATATTCAAGGTAAATATGCAGCTATAAAGTACTGCAATTATGTAAACGCTGACTATGTATTAGCCAACATATAACGCTAAGCAAAACCAGTATTCAAACCTTCCTTCAAAATATTTTTTGCTTAAAATATCAGAATTTTTTTCTTCCATGAAATTATGTGTCAACACAATTTTTGCGCTATTATTAAGAAGTATTTTGACTATACTACAACTTGATTTATTTTGTTTAAAACTAGAGGGATAATACAAATATCAGAAGTTCTTTCATAGTTACATTGAAAGTAGGGGGGAAAGTATGTTATAAGGCAAATGCACACACTTAGGCAGCTAACTCTCCAAAAGTTTCTTAACTATTTTCCTGTACAGTGGGGCTTGCAGGTCCAAGCAAATTTTCCTCCCATTCTTCAGTGTGGCTCTGGCAGGGAAAAGAGAAGAAGTGGCCTTTCAGTCCTTGGGTTTGCAGATGGGGTTAGAAGGGGTGGGATGGGCAGAGGAGTCACAGAAGGGGGCACTGACTGATGCAGTGTAAGGACTCACATCAGTTGGGCAGTGGGGCAGTGGGGTCCGGCCTTGATCACCTCCAGGCTGGTGATGTGCCTGGGACGGACCTGGGAGGTGGTCTTCACACACAGGCACTGCAGGTCCCCATCTCCTTCTTCAGCATCAGCTGGGCGGGAAGGGGAGGGGAGGAGGGGGAAAGCAGGGGGTGGTGACTCCATGAGTGGCCAGAGGTACTTTAGGGACCTTTTCCACTACCTCCAGCCTTCTTCTCCTGAGTCATAAATCATACTTCCCTCGGAGAGAAGTTGTGCTGACCAGGTGGCGAGGTGCCCGTGCATCTCCTGGCACGGTGCCCGCACACTCAGCACGCGCCTGCTAAGTGTGGCCGCGATCAGGAGCCTAGAGGACTCCTCCCCAGCCCCAGGGATTCCCGGACACCCCTCGCGGCTGCCGGCCCTCACAGCCTGGCTTCTGCTCTCACCGCTGGCGAAGGCGACCACAGCTGACAGGAGCAGCAACCCCAGGAGCAGCAGCCCAGGGCGGGAGGCGCGGGACCCGGCTGCGGAGCTCATCTTGTCGCGGAGGTTCCAGCAGGATCCCAGCTCGCAGGGAAAGTCGGGCTGAGTCTCAGTGGCCAGTGACTCCTGGGCTTCACCAGGCGCGTTTTATCCCCAGCTGTCCTTCCAGTCCGGAAGCCTGGGGTGGAGAGCTAGGAACTGCGGTGCGAAAACTACGACACTGCTGGGAAGACTCGGGCTCTGCCCAGCCAAGATTATTAAAAAAAAAAAAAAAAAAAAAATGCTGGGGCAGCTGCCTTGGCTGGGACCTTCAACCTTAACTTACAAACAAGCACATTTGTAGAGTTAGAAACAGAACATGAATCTTAGAAGTGTTTTGTTTTGTTTTGTTTTGTACTAATAGTAAAGTTCTCTGTAGTCACCATGCAAGTTACACAGCAGGTGCCTTCAGGACACTGACAGTTCCTATTTTCTTTCCAGCCTCCCAGCTGCAACTACCAATGATTACTACTGAGTTTGGTGGTGGTGTGTGTGAAGGCTGCGTTATTTGTAATTATTTTCTGCTTCTAACAAGTTTAATTTGGTATCTAGGCGATGATTTTTCTGAATTTCACCTGAATGTGGAAAACTCCCCTAGTCTCTGGATGGAATTTACCAGGCTCCACCAACAATCACCCGGTATACTGTAAGACGCAAGTTCTATTTTCTCATTACTCTTACTCTTAGAAAATTGCAGAAGTAATGTTTGAATGCATTACTTTTTGTAAAATCTTAGCGCCTGGCTATTTCTTCATTGTTTCCGTTCTGAATAATTGCCCAGAAGAGAGGACAAGGACAGTTTGCCAGGCTGCGTCTCCCAGTGCCTACTGTGTCTTCAGCCAGTACCAGTGACAGGGTGAGATGGGCTGCACTTTTGGTGGGGAGCAATGATGCTCTCTGTGGGAGGACTCGGGGTGTCTGTGAGTTGAGGGTGAGAATGCTGGGAGGTGAGGGTGGAGCAGATGCAACAGAATCCCACACAAGAAAGGAGAAGAGATTCATATGGACCATCTTCTCTTCTTTGAAAAAAATGACTTCGGCTCTTGATTAGGGCAAGGTACACCCTTAACCCAAAGCCCAAGGTTTCCTGTCACACTGATTAAAAGTGCTGAAGGGTGTCAGGAGACCACTGCATGAAAAAAGCTGACGTCGTAATACACAGTAGGACTGGACTTCTATAGAAATATGCAATGTAATTGTTGAGCTGAGTAGTTTCTCTCTCTTATTCTCTCACTACCTGCCTTTTCAGCTGGCTAAGACTTATTTATACTTCTGGTGTCAGCTTAAATATCAATTCCTCAGAACGCCCTTCCTTGACAATCCCTGATATGTAATCATGTTCTCTTGCCTTTCTGTCTTGCAGAACTCTGTTTTTTCTATTTCTCACAGGTAATGCACACACACACACACATACACATATATTTTACACAGAGATACATGCGTATGTATGTGTGTACTTCATAGTGTTAAAAATGGTTTTGTTTTCTACACTGGAAAACACTATGAAGTCAGAGTTTATAATATTTATCACTGTTCCAGTGTACTGGTAGAGACTCAATTCAAAGTGCTACATTAGTGAAGATTATGTGTTGAAAATGATGATGATGAAGTTTTTACATATTCATGTATCTGCTCCTTCGAGCAATTGAAGCATATCTCTCTATTAATGTGTGTAATATATAGTTGCAATTATTTGCCAACTCTCCCACCAAATATCAATCTTTTCAAGTGCAGTTCTCTGTGACTTATATACAGTCATGCAGCACCTAACAACATTTTGGTCAACAATAGACTGCATATATGACAGTGGTCCCATAAGATTACAATTGAGCTGATAAATTCCTTTTGCCTAGTGATGTGACTCTTATTGCTTCATGGTTGTGAAAGGAAGCAGTGACTGAAACATGTCTGTGAAAATTACTGACATGTTTGTGGGGATGCTGATGTAAAGAAACCCACTGCACTGCCAGTTGTATAAAAGTATAGCACATACAATTATGTATAGCACATAATACTTCATAAGGATAATAAGCAACGATGTTACTGGTTTATGTATTTACTATACTATAATTTTATTATTATTTTAGGGTATACTCTTTCTACTGCTTATAGAAAAAAAATATGAACTGTGAACCAATCTCAGGCAGATTCCTCAGGAAGTATGAGCTGCTATCATCTCTCTGTCATCATAGGAGATGGCAGCTCCATACATATTATTGCCCAGGAAGACCTTCTAGTAGGACAAGACAGGGAGTTGGAAGATAGTAATACTGATGATCCTGACTTCGTGTAGGCCTAGGCTAATGTGTTTCTGTGACTTAATTTTAACAAAAAAAGTATGAACAATAAAAAATACAAAACAAAACAAAAAAACTTAGTCAGGCACTGTAGTTTTTGTCTGTAATCCCAGCCTGGGAGGCTGGGGTAGGAGGACGACTTGAGACCAGGAGTTTGAGACAAGCCTAGAAACAAAACGAGTCCCCATCTGAATTACAAATTTCAAAAATTAGCGGGCATGATGGTGCACATCTATAGTGGAGATCAAGGAGGATCACGATCACTTGAGCCCAAGAATTTGGGGCTGCAGTGAGCTTTGATCATGTCATTGCACTACAGTATGGGTGACAAAGACCCCCATCTCTAAAATAAATAAGAAAACAAGCTTATAGAATAACGATATAAGGAAAAACATATTTTTGTAAGTTGTACAATGTGTTTGAAGTGTTATTTCAATAGTCAAAAGGTTTAAAAATTAAGAAGTTTCTAAATAACAAAATTACAGTAAGCCAAAGTTAATTTATTGTTGAAGAAAAAATGCTTTTTATAAATTCAGTGTAGCCTAAGTGTACAGTGTTTAGAAAGCCTAAAGAAGTGTACAGTAATGTCCTAGGCATTCACATTCACTCAGCACTCACACCGACTCATCCAGAGCAACTTCCAGTCCTATATGCTCCATTTGTGGTAACTGCCTTGTACAGGTGTACCATTTTACTCTTTTATACCTTTTATATCTTTTATAAAGATATTTTTACTATATCTTTTCTATGTTTACATATATTCAGATACACAAATACTTACCATTGTGTTACAGCTTGCTATGGTATTCAGCACAGTGACATGCTTTGCAGGTTTATAGCCTAGGAGTAATAGACTGTACTATATAGCCCAGGTTTGTAGTAGGCTATACCATTTAGGTTTGTGTAAGCACACCCTATGATGTTCACACAATGACAAAATCACCTAATGATGCATTTCTCAGAATGCATCTCAATTGTTAAGCAAAACATGACTGTATTTTTGAACATCCTGTGTCCAACACAATGGCTGTTGCAGAACCTGTTATAATTCATACATGTTTATGAACCTGAAACTTGAAACCCCTTCAGAGTTAGCAGCAAAGAGAATGAAGAGGGGCATGGTTTTGCATATGGACGGGTAACACACTGGGTTTGTACAATCTTACACCCAGATTTTAATGTTTGCAGTGTAAAGGGATCCAGTGGAACTGAGTGGCAAATAAATTACCATTTCCCTGCATGTAAACAGAATAACTCAATACATGCACACGAAAGTAAAAGACATCTATCTGTATCTCAGGAGGTATAAGCATGGTGTCAACACTGTGCCATCTCTCAGGAGCTGATCTTGTCAGGTTTCAGTCAGAAACCACTAGACATAATGAGTGAGAGGCCTGCTATCCTATAATTATTATAGTATATACAATCTGCTATTTATGTATCAAGTTGTATTATGTGTGTCAATAATACTATGTTGTATGTAATGTAATCTCTTCATTAGAGAAAGTAGAACAGAGGAAACTACCGTGGTACAGTGGTTAAGAGCACAATTTGAAATTCCCACTCTGTTACCTATTTAGTTATATGAAAGTGGGCAAGTGTTTTAGACTCTTTAAATTTGATTTTTCTTTTCTGTAACACTGGGGAGGTTAATAATAATCATAAGGAATAATTACTAACATTTATATATGGTTTATTTGTGACATGCATTATTTTAAGCACCTAAAATTTATTAACTCTTTTACTCTTTCCATAAACTCTGTGAGGGAGGCAGTGTTATTATCCCCATTTTAGGGATGAAGAAACTAAGGTAGAGAGATTAAGCAACATGACCTGATATACGGCTAACAAGTGGTGGAGACAAGTTACTTCATTTTTCGGACTCCATAGGATGTGCTTTTAATCTATTTTTTTAAAAATTGTTTAGTTCATGGCTAGCCACATGCAGAAAGCTGAAACTGGATCCCTTCCTTACACCTTATACAAAAATTAACTCTAGATGGATTAAAGATTTAAACATGAGGCCTAACACCATAAAAACTCTAGAAGAAATCCTAGGTAATACCATTCAGGACATAGGCATGGGCAAGGACTTCATGACTGAAACACCAAAAGCAATGGCAACAAAAGCCAAAATAGACAAATGGGATCTAATTAAACTTAAGAGCTTCTGCACAGCAAAAGAAACAATCATGAGTGAACTGGCAACCAACAGAATGGGAAAAAATGTTTGCAATCTTCCCATCTGACAAAGGGCTAATATCCAGAATCGATCGATAACTTAAACAAATTTACAAGAAAAAAATAAACAACCCCATCAAAAAGTGGGCAAAGGATATGAACAGGCACTTTTCGAAAGAAGACATTTATGCAGCCAACAAACATATAAAAAAAGCTCATCATCACTGGTCCTTAGAGAAATGCAAATAAAAAACACATTGAGATACCACCTCATGCCAGTTAGAATGGCAATCATTAAAAAATCAGGAGACAACAGATGCTGGAAAGGATGTAGAGAAATAGAAACGCTTTTACACTGTTGGTGGGAGTGTAAATTAATTCAACCATTGTGGAAGACAGTGAGGCGATTTCTCAAAGATCTATAAATAGAAATACCATTTGACCCAGCAATCTCATTACTGGGGCATAAAATACCTGAAGGGTTATAAATCATTTTATTATAAAGACACAGGCACACGTATGTTTATTGTGGCACTGTGCACAATAGCAAACACTTGGAACCAACTCAAATTCCCATAATGATAGAATGGATAAAGAAAATGTGGCACATATACGTCATGGAATACTATGCAGCCATAAAAAAGGATGAGTTCATGTCCTTTGCAGGGACATGGTTGAAACTGGATGCCATCATTC